GTCAAACATGAATCTACTGTCTCCTCTGGGCACCTCTTTCAGAGAAAAGTAGCTTGGGGCAGGGTGGGGGCAGGATGTACCTCTTTCTCCCCTGTGATGTGAGGACTGAGATGAGGGTGTCACCTATAGACCTAAAATCTAGCTCTCATTATACAGATGGTGAAACCAAGTTCCAGAGAGAGACTGACCTGCTACAGGTCGCATGCCCGTCTTGCTCATTTCCCAGTCAGCCAGAGCTTTTTTTCAAAATCTGTGTCGTCCAGGTAGAAAAAGAATGAGATGGATGGGGCAAACCACACAGCTAAGACAGGGTATGTCCTGCTGAGACTCCGTGAGCACCACAGCCTGGAGATGGTCCTGTTTGTATTGTACTGTCTGGATGTCTCCTGCACCACTCTACTGGGGAACTCCCTCCTCCTGGGGTTGATCATGCTGGACCCCCGCCTGCACAACCCCATGCACTTCTTTCTCAGCAACCTCTCTCTCATAGACATCTGTGGTACCTCTTCCTTCACACCCCTCAGGCTACACAACTTCCTGGGATTCCAAAGAACCATCTCCTTCCCCAGCTGTGCCCTACAGATGTACTTGACCCTGGCACTGGGTGCTACAGAGTGCCTGCTCCTGGCTGGGGTGGCATATGACCGGTATGTGGCTATCTGCCAGCCGCTTTGGTACCCAGAGATCATGAGTGGGCAGATGTGCATGCAGATAGCAGTACTGAGCTGGGGGACAGGCTTTGCCAACTCGCTACTGCAGTCCATTCTTGCCTGGCACCTCCCCTTCTGTGGCCATAATGCTATCAACCATTTCTTCTGTGAGATCTTGGCAGTGCTGAAACTGGCCTGTGGGGATGTCTCCCTCAATGCACTGATATTAATGGTGGCCACAGCTGTCCTGACACTGACCCCATTCCTGCTCATTTGCCTCTCCTATATTTTCATCCTAGCTGCCAACCTTGGGGTACCCTCTGCTGCAGGCCGCAAAAAAGCCTTCTCCACCTGCTCTGCCCACCTCACAGTGGTGGTGGTGTTCTATGGAACCATCTCCTTCATGTACCTCAAGCCAAGGCCAAAGACCTCAATGTGGATAAGATTATCACATTATTCTATGGGATTGTGGCACCCTCACTGAACCCCATCATCTACAGCCTAAGGAATACAGAGGTAAGAGCTGCTCTCACAGCTCTACTGCGGGGGGGGGGCGTTCTGCTCACCAGGAAAATGTCCCACTTTAACTGTTGTCCTCCATGTCTGTCAATCAGCAGAGGCTAGGTTCTGTTTGTGGTAATGATCTCAAGTTTTTCAGTGGCTTAAATCCATTAAGGTTTGCTTCTTACTCGTGCTTCAGGTCCATTAGAGCTTGGCTAGGGCTCTGCCCTGCATCACCATCTTCACCCCTTTGGGACTCAGGATGACAAAGCAGTTACAGTCCAGAACACTGCTGATCACCATGACCAAAGGAAAAGAGAAGTGAACAGGCCTGCATGGACTCTAACAGATGTCACTCAGAAGTGACACAGGCGCTTCCACTTGTGTTTCACGGGCCAACACACAGCCATACCTGACACGAAGGAGAAACAAGCCTGGTACGTGCCTGGAAGGAGAGGATTCAGAGATTTCGGAAGACCTAAGGATCACACACACACACCTTGTACAGTCAACCCAAAAGGAACTAGAGGGTTTGCTGCCTCTGCCTGACCACCTCTCCTTCACAGGCCCATAATGGGTTCACCAGCCCAAGAAAGTTCTGGTTAGTTCACTTACAGCATCTTTTTACTGGGACAGCCAACCTAGGCTGGAAGTATGCTTCCCAGAATTTCTTTCTCATATGGGTTTGATTAGAGTTGCCCATAAGAGACATTCACACAAGCCTGAACACAAAAGTGAACTCCAGCCCTGCAGGAGCACTCATGCTGGTGCCCCTTTAGTGTGGCCAGTCCAGGTCTAGCAGGGTCCCCTCCCTCAGCTGTTCTCAAGCTGAGCAATTGTAGCTCAGTGACAAAAGATGCCTGCTGCTCCTGCAGGCCATGGGTATCATTGAGCTTGAAGGCAGCCAGGTGCTGGACACAGTTCTAGTCTGTCTTCTAAGCTCTAGCTTGCCCTGACTCTCCCTCCCTCACACCATTTTCTTTACTGACTGCCAATCCCTCCATCTGTAGCGGCTTCAGGCACTTAGGTCCCAGCTTGTATCAGCTTCTCCAACTGCTCCCATGACTGTGTAAGTCTCATCTTACAGTATACAACTTCCATCACTCACAGAGGTTCTCCCACTTTGGTCAAACCCCAAATATTTCATCAGTCTTCTGATCAAGGGCTTTTCATGGCTCCCCAACACCCCAGCATTAAGTCCAAAATTCTTCAGCTGAGTCCTCAAGGCTCTTAGGAGTGCACCCTCCCACTTCCTCAGCATGACTCCTCCCTCCCCTTTCACATGGGCCAGCTCTGTACCGCCCACATCCCCAGGTCTTTGCTCTTCTTGGATCATACCAAGGGCAAGTTTTCAAAGCCAGCTCTTCATGCATTCTTTCTTGATGCACTTTGAAATTGTCCTCTTCATGTCCTATAGCACTTTGTTAAGAACCTTTCACTTGGGATCTATCCTATCCTGAATTACACTCATGACATTTCACCACCAAGAGAGCTCCTTCCGGGTAGGAAGCTGCCAGCACTGACTCATCATCCCTGTGGCCCCACGGGGCTTTCCTCACAGGATTGTGGAGCTGAACTGTCACATGCAAGTTCTGACAAAGTCACCACCTGGCAACACTGAGCCCTGTATGGCTAGGTATGTTCCAGGTGAACGGTGTGGCTCTGTGTGCAAGGGAGCAGTAGCACTGACTGGCCACAGCCCCGTATCCAAGGCAGATGGGGCTTGTAGAATTTTGAATTCTATCAATGACTCAAGTCAGCAGACATCCAAGGGTTAGAGGCCTGGTTCAGTTCCTATGTCCAGTTCTGTCTTATTGCTGCAGAACTTGCACAAGCACCTCAAAGTCAAGATATCCCAAACTGAATTTATCATCCACAATCACAAGTGTGCCAGCATCTCAAGTGACACAGGAATGGCACCATCATTCCAGGTAAGATAGTGGTCATCTTAGAGTTTCTCTCCTATCTCATTACTCTACACAGTCACTAAATGCTCAGTCTACCTCCTCCTAAGAGCTCTTAAACTGACCCCCTCCTTCCACTGGTGCCACATAAAGATGGCTTCACCATCTCTCAAATAGTGTGGCAGCTTGGTCACTGCACTCGTCCCCCAAGTTCCCCTCAAACCCATCCTTCACAAGAGCCATCAACGTACCATCCATTCATGTTACTCTCCTGCTTAAATGCCTTCAACAGCTCCTCATTTCCCAAAAGACCATATACCACCTATCTGTCTAAACATTATTGGCTGCTTGCCTCAACTCCAGCACATGTGCACTGGAGTTTCTCTCTCTCTCTCTCTCTCTCTCTCTCTCTCTCTCTCTCTCTCTCTCTCTCTCACACTACCCTTCCAACCCCAGTGTCACTCACACTTCTCTCCCCATCTCTCCCACTCTCTCCCACGCTCTCACATCTCCCTTCGCTCCGCTTTTCTGTCTCTCTCTCTCTCTCTCTCTCTCTCTCTCTCTCTCTCTCTCTCTCTCTCTCTTAGTCCCACTGTACTTCACAGCCCAGAGTCAATAACAGTCTTCTGCCTCTACGTCTCCCCATCACTACAGCCCTGTCCAAACACTCCATAGCTTCTGTCTAGCATATATTGGACAATGTCATGCAACAGATTAGACACTATGCTAAGTGCCCTAAGTACTTTACTGAATGGGAAATACAAGGTGAGCACTTACAACCACAGAGTGCTTATGACCACAAAGAACTCTCCCAACTTCTCAGCATTATGGAACTCATTTAATCCTCCCTCAAGGCCATCTTCTCCAAAAACCACCCAGACACTCCCACAGTACTCTGTTCCCTCTTTGGTGCCTTCTGTACTCTGCTGACTCAGTCCTGAATCCCAGCTATTTGAGTTAAGCTCCTCACGACCCAATTCTAGCCATCTTGCACTGAAGGACTAGCATTTCAGATAGAGGAGCAAACCCCCAGCTACACACCATCACTTCTCCCTGCCACTCAGTTGGTCACTTCATTGTCTACTCAGTACCCCAAGGAAGAGGTCAAAAAGTACAGAATAAAGTGATAACTCCCTGGCTTTTGGTATTCAAAGGCCTAGCTCTGAAGAAAAGAGAAAGGACTTGAGGCAAAAAGATGTGGAAGAAAATGTAAGTAAGAGACAGGTGTGGTGGCACACGTCTTTAATCCCAGCATTCAGGGGGCAGAGGCAAGTGGATCTCTGTGAGATCAAGGTCAGCCTGGTCTACATAGTGAGTTCCAGGTCAGCTGAGGCTACAGGGAGATCATCTCAAAACAAAACAAAAAACTCCCAGTAATTTGGGCTGGAAAGATGGCTCAGAGGTTAAGAGCACTGACTGTTCTTATAGAGGACCCAGGTTCAGTTCCCTTCACCACATGGCTGCTAACAATCATTCATAACTCCAGTTCTAGGGAATCTGACACCCTCTTCTGGCCTGCATACACCTCTTCTGGATGCACTTACATATATGCAGGAAAAACACTCATACATATAAAAGTAAGTAAAAATTTAAAAAGAACCCTTTCAACATGTAACTAACCTCTCTGACCACTGACTGAGAACTAGATGAGATGATGGAAATCTCAAGATGGATGAAGTCTGGCACTGATGACCAGAGACAATGTGATCCCAGTATCTTCGCATGATATGAGACTCTCAAAACTCAGCTATGACTCCATGGAGAAAGAAGAAATCCAACTGCCAGGCATGGTGGCAAATATCAGTAATTCTAGAAAGTAGGCAGCTAAGGCGAGAGGATCATGAGTTCCAGGCCAGTCTGGGCGACACAGTGAGCTCCAGGCCAGGTCAAACTACTTACATAGTGAGACTCTGTCTCAAAGAAAAGAAGAGAAAGAAAGAATTCCCAAGTGAAAAACGTTATTTGATTATTTCTGGCATGCAAGAAAAAATATATAGGCTCAAAATAGAAGTTCCATTCTTGTGATTTCTTATACATTCAAAGTTAGTACCTGTTACTCCAATTTCCTGGCACCTCGGCCTCCTTCTCATGGATATAAGCATCATGGAAGAGAGCAAATTCATCCCAGTATACACACACCAAGCACACATGCGCACATATACATACACACATATACACTTATACACACGTATGCACACACATACATATATCCCTCTTAGCTATTGCAGATGAGGTTCCATAGTAATTGGGAAATAGGCACCAGGAAATATTTGGGATTAAACCCAAGGACCAGATGAGAGGGATGCAGGAGTGTACACAGGGGGCAGAAGCCTCAGACAGCAGTTCCCAGCATCTTCTTCAGGCTAGGCCCACCTCTCCTGTTCTTTCCTCAGGGTCTCTCTTTCCCTCTAGTTCCTCACTCTGACCCCGTGGGGAAAAAAGGCAGCACAGAACCAGCACACACTTCATTCAGATTCCACCTGTATCAAATCAGGATACCAGCTGCCCACCCTGTCCCAGCTCCATCTGTCTTGCAACCCCCTGCCCAGCACAGCACAGCTCAGATGCTCTGAGAAGGAAGGCTGAGGCCAGAGTTCTAAGCCTCTGGGAAAAAACGGTGACTCAGTTTCTCCAAGATGGACTCCTTTTCCTCTAGACTGATGACATATCCTGATGAAATTTTGTCTCCCTGGGAAGTAACTCGTGTCTGTAGGAGGGTGATCCCCCTGAGGACTCCTTGGTCCTGTGGGGGCTCTGTGGTCTGCATAGCTCATCCTTAAGGACTCCATGAACACAGGAGGACTCCAAGCCCTCAAGAAATTCTCCACATACTGGGAAGGCCTCCTAGTCCCTGAAAGAGTTCATCCTTGAGAAAGACTCCACATGTTGAAGAAAACAACTTGTCTCTTGTTCCTAGGAGGGCTCCATACCCCTAGAGGAACCCTAGGAAGGGTTCCTATCCCCCAGGGGCCTGGCCCAAAGCCCCTCTCAGCTGGCACAGATACTGCTGACAGTGGCCCCTCCAGGGCCCACAAGGCCCAGCTCCTCCTGCTCATTGATGCACAACTGGTAACCACAGCCCCGGGCCCGGGCTCCAGATGGGACCCGGTGGTCAGTCTTGGCACGAGGAGGCAACAAGAAGCCCACACTGCCAGCGATGAGCATATGCCAAATGCTATGAATGTAGAAGTAGTTGTCCCGGGTCTCCACAAAAGCATAGAGTAGGACGGCACTTCCTGCAATAAGGCTGCCCGGGCACAGGTAGAAGAGCCAGCGGCGCCACGTGGGTGGGTAACAGTGCCTACGGCGGACGCTGCGTACTGTCTGAGGGAGGCAGAGAAGTGGGGTTCAGGAACATGAGGCCCTGGAATTCAAGCTAGAGCTGGTTATTCAGACTTCCCCTGACCCCTGGGTATGACCTAAAAAGCACCCTCCAGGACTGGAGTGGCCACTGTGAACAGCAGGTGACGACAACACAGTGCAAGGCTACTAAACTGGGAATGATGGCCAGGGCCCAGTATCCACGTCAAGCTCCCTTTCCCCCCTCCACAGGCATCCCCATCCTTACCCAGGCTGTGGCCAAGATTCCCAAAGCGAAGAGACTGGGTCCAAGTAGGTTCCAGAGTCCATGCCGGTCAAGTTGCAGAGCCATGGACAGCAGCATAGCCCCCAGCAAATACAGCACCTACAGAGAGAAGACTCCAGGGGCTGGGCCAAGAAAGATGGAGGCCCTTGGAAAAGCCGAAGGCCTCAGTGAATTTCTTGGGTAGGGCTGTCTCCCAGGGCCCAGTCTAGACTGACCTGCTTGACCACAGGCTGTAAACGAGCCATGGCAATGACAGTGACCCACACGGACATTAAGGAGCCCAGGAAATCACAGAACTGCAGCACATCATAGTCCATGATGCAGAAAACCACAATGCCTGGCTGGTCACAGGCATGATAGAACTGGAAGAAGAAGCAACAGGTGTTGAAGGCTTGAGGCCACAAGTCCAGGTCTATGAAACTAAAGAAAGAACCATGGGGGCTGCTCCTTTGTCCAAGGCAGAGGCAGGGGTCACAGGTAGGCAAAGCTAAGAAATGCCTGATTCCCTCATTACTGAGGAGAATGTGGTGGGGAGGTCTTGTCTGCTTCACAGCCAAATGGATCTAGCAGCTCAGACTCTGGTCCTCATCCTCCTAATCTTCCTGCTTCTAGAATGCACTATAGAGAGTGCACGGCCAGGGACTGAGATGTCTCAAGCAGAGGCCAATTCTTTCCCTCTTCCCTCATGCTGAGTCCCTTGAGCAATCCCCAGCTGCTAAAATCTGGCTCTGATCTTTTCCTCCAACCTAGACCCAAACCTCCCCTGCATGTCCCAGTTTCCCCAACAGCTCAGGCTCTGAATTGGGCTTCACTCATAGCTTATGTGAACTGACCCCCTTCATTCTCTCTACCCAATGCGTGGGGGCAGGAAGCTCAGAAGCAGCAGGGCAGCCTCTGAGGCCATGGAAAACAGCACAGCACTCACATCAGGGGTACACTCAGCAAAGAGACAGACCCTCCTCTCCCAAACCCTGGAGAATTAATGTTTAAATTCATTGGACATTAATTTGTTTCCTAAAGTTCTCTCTCTCTCTCTCTCTCTCTCTCTCTCTCTCTCTCTCTCTCCTGCCTATCAACTTTTTATTTCTGATTCACTTCTCCCTCCCC